TTATTAAAAAATAATTATAGCAAAGCGATTACAAAAAATATTAATATTAAATTATAAATATTAATTACGAAATATACTATAAAACATGTATTTTTCGCATTCTTATAATCGAAATATGCAATAATATTCATTTTATTCAATATATGCATTAATATGCATTTTATCCAAAATATGCAAAAACATGCAAAATAAAAACACCACCATTCATCTCATCATTAGGTGATTCGTGGACATTACTGACAAAATCAATAATCAGAAGTCGCAAAAAAAACATGCTGTTGCATACAAATCCTAGCCTTGCCATTATAAATGCAGTTTAGATCTCTCACGCCGATTTGATTTCTTTTATCAATACATAGGTAACTTGAAGAGTTAAGAACAAAGAAGTGATCAGAATTTATCGCTCTTACTTACTTTTGAAGTTATAGCTTTCCAAAGTTTGTGATTTTAAATTTACACCTACGAATGCGCTGAACATTGCTTTATAATGCTTCCCAGAGGACCTCAAATTTGGCGACCAATAGTGCACTCAGAATTCAAATTTAAAGTTGTGGTGATATTACATCATAACTACTTATTTACTTTACTTATTTTAACACCTAGGTTGTAGTTGTTACTTAACCACATTGGCCCAGCACAATCAAGTTAATTTTAGCATTTAGAGTAATTTTTAACATTTTAGTGATGTATTATAATATTATAATTTAATATATTATAATCTTGTCCCCTCCTCCCAAGGTTGGCTATTTAAGGTCTGGGGGACTGGTGGACCAAGCCCACATCTAGAAAGAGGTCCAGAGTACCTCGAGCTTGGCGACTGGAGCCGGTAGGCGTAGGGAGTAACTACTGTTAACTTCTCCCAGCGAAATAACGTCAAAAATCTAGCCGCCGGACTGAGAATCAAACTCGGTTCTCTCGCTTGCCGGGCTTGCTCTCTACCACTAAGCTATCCGACCCACATAGACCCATGATGCTATATCCCCAATTTAACAGATGCTTACACTACTTATCATAACTTGCTCTCATTGAAAATTTCAAAAACCATTATTTTAAAAGGTTAGAATACGTAAGTACCAAAATAGAAAAATAAATATATGAAAGCATGGTAAATTATAGCATATTTGATATGGGTAAAAATTGCAAAATTGTTTAGTTCCAAAGACCATAAMTTCAAAGCTAAGTCTGAGCAACAAATTATGAATGCACCATTGTTCTGAACTTAACGTGTTACATAAGTTTTGATAAAAACTTCAAAATAGTGAGGGGGGAGGTATCAAACTGCATTTGTTCCTTGTGATTTAAATAGGAAAACAGAAAAGCAGCAAGAATGAAAAAATTCTGTCAATCAGCGTCTGGACTTTTATTCAAAAATAAACAACCTTAACCAATAAACGATATTAAGTTAATATTTTAGACATTATTACCTCAGATATAATAACTCTTCTTAAACTATTAGCCACAGCTACATCAATGCCAATGAGATCAAACTCCAAATCATTGTCAGAGCGGCTAATTATGTTTATCTTGAAATTCTAAAACATTAATAATAAGTTTTGATAAGTTATAAAAAAATATCAAACTAATAGATAGGTAATATTCTCAAATAAGATATTGCAATATTTACCTTTACAAATTCATCATAGTTATATGGTTTAATTTCATTGCCTAAAGTCTGAAAATAAAATTATGAATGTTGTCTATGTTACAATGGAAGAAACAACATCATTAATTTGTATTATAAATTATAAAAATAGTTTTGCTTACCCTTTCAATAGAATATTTGTTCATTATTATTGGGTTTTCCATTTTTAAGAAAGAAGCGATACAAACGTCTAGAGAAGTAGAAATAGAAAAGTAGAGACAAAAATGTGAAACTGTTGAATCTGGAATTGAATGGGTGCAAGATGGCGGCCTTATGCTCTTATCAATCGTATCTCTTATCTTCACAAACATTTATCAGTATTATCACAATAATTATCATTATAATATCGTTATTGAATTGCGGAAAAAATATCCCGGGAAAAAAAATCCCCGACCCTAGGAAAAAAATTCCCAGACCGCAATATTACTCACAACCTCATGAAAATGGTTGAACATATATTTTTAAACGTTAAWTAACACCTACTCACAGTAAAAACATATAGCATATAAAAATATTTCGAATAATTAATGCGTCAATAATACAAAATATAGATAATAATAATAAAATTAATAATAATATAATAATTATCAAACAAT